GGTGGTGGTGGTGGTGGTGGTGGTGGTGGTGGTGGTGGTGGTGGTGGTGGTGGTGATGATGATGGTGCATCCTCAAGATTTGAGGGTACCCTAAAACCTGGGACTCCTGGCCCTCATCTTCACAAGCCAACAAGTTCACCAATGACTAATCGAAGAAGCCCTAATGGATTTTCAAGGGTTGGTAGAGGTTTAGGGTCTGGATTTAGTGCTACTAATCTGACAAAGGCTAGATCTTCCTTTGAAGGCGAAGGTCGTGGGGTTTTTGGCATGGTTTGTCATAAATGTGGTGAACAATTTGTGAAATGGGGAGCTCTAGAATTTCATCATCTCTCCAAACATGCTGGTAAGCAAAGATTCTTGCTTTTTCTTTCAAAATTCAATCTTTATTATGTTAATGATACTAAATAGATATTATTCTGTTTACATATATGCATTTGCACTCAGTAGCGGATCCAAGATTTTTGTCTAGTGTGGTCACCTTTAAGGTAGACTAAAGACCCACAAAGTCACCCGATGTGTTTTTAATCTAATTACAACGTTTCGAGATATTTTTAAAGTTTTTTGGTTGATTTCGAGAAATTTTTTAGTGTTTTTGTCGATTTCGAATAACTTTTTTGGTTTTTTTGGTTTTTTTGATTTCAATAGATTTTTTTTGTTAGAGTAACGGTTTCGATTGGGGTTGGGGACCGTGAAAAAAATGTAACGGGGAAGTAAAAAGTAAATCATGTAAAACCTAAATTTTAACATAAGATTTTTTTTAGCTTTTGACTTGGGTCCCTTCCCCCTTTTGCTAATGTGTCCGCCCCTGCACTGACAAATTGTATGCTTGAACTATACCACTAGAAAAAACAAAACCATCTAACCATGAATCCACGAAATATGTATATATATATATAGCATCATTGTTTGATCTCATTTCTCTTTGGGTTTTTGGCGTCACATTTCCTAAATAAAGTTTTTGTTACCTGGAGTTGATTTACTTTTTGAGACATAATTGGTTGATTTCCATTGATTTGGCAGTTACTGAGCTCAATGAAGGAGATTCATCTAGAAAAATCGTGGAATTAATCTACAAAACAAGTTGGTCAAAATCCCACACCAATTCTGGAGGAATAGAAAGGATCTTGAAGGTCCACAACATGCAAAGAACACTATCTGAATTCGAAGAACATCGAGAAACTGTGAAAGTCAGAGCTAGCAAACTCCAAAAGAAACACCCTCGTTGTCTAGCTGACGGCAATGAGTTACTAAGGTTCCACGGCACACTAGTTGAATGCAACCTTGGCCTTAATGGATCCTCTAGCCTTTGCCAATCCACTAACTGCAACGTTTGTCAAATTCTACGACATGGGTTTTCAATCAAGAAAAATGGCAACAACAAAAATGTAGTTGGGAGTGTTTTCACTACTTCAACAAGTCAAAGGGCATTTGAAGCCATTGATGTCAACAATGGTTCTAATTTGAGGAAAGCTTTGATAGTTTGCAGAGTGATTGCTGGGAGAGTTCATAAACCATTGGAGAACATTCAAGAACTTGCTAATCAGTCGGGGTTTGATTCATTGGCTGGAAAAGTTGGGATTTATTCAAATATTGAAGAACTCTATTTGTTGGATCCTAAATCATTGCTCCCTTGCTTTGTAATAATTTGCAAGTCACACATGTAAAGGAAAGAAGTTGGGGGCCTAAATGGTAACTGGCATAGGCTTATTTGTTTTTATCTTCTACTTCTTTTTCTACAATATATTTACTTATCAAGTATTTCTCTCTTTTTATTTATGAAAAAAAGAAAGAATTCGAAATATATTATAACTGTACATAAATGGGATTTTGGGTATGGAGGTTTTCGTGCATTAGTTGAATAAGAAATCTAATTTAATAATTAAATTTTCAAGCAGGCAAATAACCTTTTTAAACAGTTATTCCGTAATTAAAAAAGATTTTTTTCTACAACCAATTTTTAAAACTATTATTTTAAAGTTTGAATTAACAAAAAAAAAAAAATCTAGTTGACATGTTAACATGTATTCCGCTAATTAAATATGATGCAGTGAAATAATAATTTAAAAAATATTGTGGATATTTTATTGTCATATCATCTTCATTATTAGAGTGAATTACATTTTTGGTTCTTGTGTTCTTGTTTTGGTTATTCATACAAACCGTAACACCTCATTTAAACCATGAGTTGTGTTATGTCATTTTCATTAAATAATAGTAAATAACTCAAGAATAACGGCTAATAAAGTCTCGTTACAATGTAAATAATAACCCAAATCTAAATTGTCCCATACTAGGTTACCTTACAAAATTAGTTCAAACATAACGTCTAACCATCCCTAATTCAGATATTTAATAGAAATACTAGAAGAGTATTCGCGCAATGCAGCGAGACACATCTCGATTTTAATGTTCTATTTTATTATTTGTCTCTGTCGATGTTATAATACGATTTTATGTGTTTTTAAGAAAGGTAATAATGATTTTATTTTTGAATAAATATAAATTTGAAGATATCATAAAATTTTAGAATAAAATACATCAATTTAATATCAAATCAACTATTTAAAAGTTCTCATTTTTTATGTAATTTTTTTAATTTTTTATTATAATTTAATTTAANAAAGTTCTCATTTTTTATGTAATTTTTTTAATTTTATAATATAACATTTTATAAAAATAATAATTAAATATTCCGTTAGAACTCAATAATTATCCTAATTATATTTTAGATTTTTTATATTTAAAATAAGATATTTATTATGCATTTAATTATGTTTATCTGCAGTTAGTTACACGAATTCATATATGGAGCTTTAATAAGTTGTACTTACGCACAATCTACTTGCAATCTTGAGTTTTAAGTAATATGCATTAACAAATAKTACTTTACGCATAAAAAGTGGTTTTTAAGAGTTTTGTCAAATGTTTTATGATATAGTATAGATAACTCACTAATTAAGCATAACCTTTGCCCTTGTCTACCCTTGAACTTCGCGCCCATAAGATGCATAATAATAGTCAACTTTATAAATCTCAATGAGTTCATAGTTTTCGTGCATAAATCATACATGTCCCATCATTGTAAAGGACAAACAAAATACCCAAATAATATGTACATCTATTCCAAAAATCCATTTGAAATAATTTTGAAATATCATAAACTTTGTTCTATCGGGTAAAGGTCATATTGTCATTCGCATTCCCTGGATTATACGTCTCATCCTTGTCCAATTACTCATTCCTAGGATGTGCCTTTGATTTGACATATCGACCCAAACCTCGAACCTGATTGAGCCCATTTTGAAGTAATACCCTATTTATAACATGCTAAATAATGTTTGAAAAACAGTTAATAAATAGCATGCAACTCACATAATAAAATTACATACATGCATTAAATGCCCATAAACATGTACATAGAAATAATATTATGCATAAATATGCATCATAAATAATTCTCATGCTCAACTGTTAACCCATGCATCTTCTTTATGCTACATTATCGATCTTATGAATGCTTCCCATCACGACAGTATCTACATCTAATTAGTCCTCGTATAATTTGGACAAAGGCACTAAATCTAATAAGCTTGTGCTCGTTTCCGATACCACTACTTGATATATCTCTAGTATTTTGTTCTCCGAATCATAGTACTTACATGTAATGCTTTTATGGAACTCCCGCTCATCCTATAGTCTCATGTCTTATGATTTAGTAGCAATAAATGAACCTTTATTAAATTGACAAGGCATATAGCTGACTTGATCGCTAACCCATAACCTCTCATATATGACTTCTCATTATTGCTTGAATTTCTCCTTGCCATAAATAAGTTTTCAATGTCCCACCGCCCTTGGTGAGCCTTGATCTACTCAATATCATTCTTATCATAGTAGTCTATGATATCAACATCTTGTGGCATCTATCACATACTGTTGATCCAAACTCTCTCAGTGATTTGATTAATAACAATTATACTTAGTGAAAATACTTGGTTTTGTTTTCCTCAGTTTCAACGATCATCATTGAATCTGTTCAGTGATCACCGAATGTGTAGGTAACAATTATAGAATGTTGGGGTTTAAATTGTAAATATAATCAAGGTGTAGGGGCTTATCGTGTAAATACCTTTGGGGTATATGTTGGTCCTCCTTTGGGGTATATGTTGGTCCTAGTCGGATCTATATGAGTTTATATGTAACAGTTTGTAGAACCGGGGGGAATGAATACAAACATGGCAACTTTCACTTTTAGAAAATATATATTGATAAAGAAGATCAATACAGATTTTTACAGATTGTTTGCGGAAGAGATAGGATACATAACCTATCTAAACAATCAAAGATACACACAAAATTAAAGATAGCAAGAAGAAAAGACTTTATACAAGAATTAAGATAAGAAGTAATGTGCTCTTCACTTGTTACAGTGGGTTATTCTCTTAGACAGAGAGTAAAGAGAGAAGTATCTTCGTGGGTAAGATAAGATAAGGAAAATGTGTAACTGAGAAAAGAGAACTATTCAGCTATTTATACCCATTGCATTAAATGCAATTCAGAATATAAAAAGCACATGACAAGATTTTAAAGGAAAGTTTATCCTTTGTTGCAGTATACAGTCTTTTGGTCGTATATGAATAGTCTTCTCATAAAGTAGGTAAGCATGTTTGGAGACAATGGAGTGACTCCGTACAATTACTTTGAAAGATATGGGTTTGTCCTTTGTCTGCAGAAGGACAAGACGAAACTATCTTGCTCAACAAGATTCATTTTATCGTTGAATACTGAAATGATACTGAAGGTCTCATCAGTGTTCACTGAATCCTGCATAGATTTCAAATTTGTGTAGACGAGCTTGTTATCACTACAAACTACTTCAGATCACGAACTTGTTGGTCTCTACCTTCAGCTTCTGTCTTTGACATCGTTGAAGGATCTGTCGTGTGAGTTTTGTCTTCTTGAAGGATATTGGTCTCTGAACGAATTACAATACATGTTCAACGATCACTAAACAGACTCAATGATGATCACTGAAACTGAATAAGACATCAAACCACCGAGAGAGAGCATCAACAATCTCCCCCTATTTGATGATGATAAAGGAACTTAAAGAAAATTGCTTAAGTTACATCAATAAGAAAAAGGTACTAGTAAAATATGTGTTCCTTTTAACTGTTTTTGGATCTTTTTCAGTGATACAGTTTATTATGAAAATTTACTTTAATTGTAAAAGATTACAAGGAAAGAATAAAATTACACAATATTAATAACTGAAATTAAAATCATATTCACTGACTAGAAAGGTGTTAATGAATGAAAGACATAAACATAACTCTTAAGTACATGTCCCATTTACTCTTTTCAGGGATTTTTTTTCAGTGAACTGATCATTTTATTGAATATGTTTCAAGGGAAAATATTACAAGTTATTACAATCAGCTTGGTAGACCTAATACACAAAGGTTATACATTAAAAGAAAGAAAACAAGATTACAAGATTGAAAGAATGCCTAATCTAAGTTGCATGAAGTTGATGTACTTAGGGACATCTTCTCCAAGCTTCTTGTATCGGAATATTTCCTTTCTGTTAGAATGTTTATTTCAAAAGTGTAAGTAAAAAGCCTCTTGCTCTAGTCAAAAGGACTTAGTCTAGAAAGCTGCCTGGAACCAAGAGCTCGGATACAGAGATGATACCTGGATATAGAGCTCGTCGCTAAGAGGAAAGAAGATCGAAGACTACACGTCAAAAAGTTAAGGATTCAATACAGAGCCCGACTCAAGACACAAAGCCTCTACACTATACATGCAGAGCCTATGAGTCTCCTACTCTTCATTGCGCGTGAAGGTTCCACGACACATCTTGCAAGTGTTTCGGTCTCAGGCCGACACGTTTCCAAAAATAGTTATTCCAATTATACATGTGGAGACAGATGATTGGTGGACGTGTTGACTTCTCCTATTTCCCAAATTGTGGAAGATTCATTTTCTAGAAACGCCTATAAAAGGGTAATTCCTCTAAGAATATCAATTACCAATTTTGAAAATAAGAAGACGCGCTCCTTCCCAGTTTATAGAGATATTTTAGCACTTGTGAGAAATTTAGCTAGTTGAAATATATTTTGTACACACACTCATGCGTGTTCTGGACATACTCTCATTAGCAATTCAAATACAGCCGACTTGTTCAATACTTCAAGGATTTATGTGTCTTGTTCATTTATGTTTAACCCACTAGTTTCAGAGTATTTCTTTTGTTCACTTGTTGACCTAAGCTTTGATTAGTAGTGCATTAGAGGATCTAGGTTCCTACAATTGGTATTAGAGGCTTCTAATCAGTTTATTGATTAGTTGGATCCAATTCATAAAGGATATCCTCTTTTGTTTAGTTATTTTATCTTCTAGAAATCGCTTTTAATTCCAATATCTCGAATTTTTTCTGTGAAAATATGCAGATCTTGTTTATTTCTACGAAGATAATCATATTTGAATATTTTCTCCAAGTTTGCGTTCTTCAAGTTCTATTTTCTATTTATCGAAACTTCTAGTTTGTTTGTTTTACCCTTTTCTTGAAAGATGTCCAATCAATCCTGGAACTCGATGTATAGTGTTGGATCCCTCACTAAACCATCGACTCTCATTAGGGATGAATATCCCCAGTGGAAGATTTAGTTGATAAACTTCTATGAATGTCTTGACCTGACCTTGTATGAATCCATCAAGCATG